CTGAAGTCACTTTCTAACTTTGAACTCAAAGGTTAACAAGTCTGTGAAATTCTTTTGAACTATATGATTTCCAGAATGGCCACTGATAAGGAGAGAATGATTTCATTCTATCCAGCAAGTGATAAATATGACATCACTGTATTTTAAAACCCTGCAAAACAAACAATACCATATGGTTTGTTTTCTTCCAACAGCAAACTAACAATCTGTAGTATTCTAACAAACTGCTATTAGGTCTAGGAATATTTTTGGCCAAATTTTTCTTTATCCCTTGTTAAAACTGGTTTGCTAATGGATTTCTTTAGTTTTAGAATTATAATTAGAAGGCAGTTATTGCTTTGCATAATCAAATTGTAATTGCTATTTGGGTGAAATCCAATGAATTTAAGCATTAGTACCTCCAAAAAAACAATATCTGGCAAAAATGGAGTAACAAATGTCATGCGTTAATGATCCAGCATATCTAATGTTTGCCTAACTGTTGAAATTTTTTAGAAGCTAGAGAGCTAGTGATATTAGAGGATATTAAAAGTATCAGTCTATTTTAAAGCATCATAGTTGAAAATTACAACAAATTAATATTCTCTTATTAGATACTAATGGAGGTGATGAGGAATGAGAATTCATTTGGGGTCACAATCTTACTTAGGTGTGCAGTGGGTGCTCCTGGGTGAGTCACTTAACATCCCTGAGTCTGTCTGTCTCTGTTATAAAATGGAAATTGTGATATCTAAATAGTTATTTGTCAATTTTTTCCATGCCTAATGGCGGAACTTGTTTCCTGGGTTTGGAGAATTTCCTACACACGTTTCTCATTTTAGAAGCCAGAAAACCCAAGTGCAGGTACCCACCCTCTTGTCTCTGCCCTGACCTGGTTCTCCAGCCTTCCAAGCAACACTGGGATCTCACAATCTTTGAAAACAAAACAAACAAAAAATCCTATCCTTTGTGAAATCAGCTAGGGTCATTTTCTATTTCTCACAACCAACAAACCTCACTAGTACTTCCAAAATATATCTCAGATCTGTCCACTTCTCTCCATCTCAACTATCCCCACTCCAGTCCAAACTCCCATGATAGCCTTTTTGCACTAATGCAGTGGCCTCCTGAGGGAGCTTTCTATGTCCATTCTTGTTCCCTCCAACCCATTCTTTCCATGACAGCAGGAGTGACCTTCTTTCAATATGAAGGAATCACATCATTTTCCTCCACAAAATCCTTCCTGTTGACTTAATAATTTAAAAATTTTAAACACAATCCACATAACTCAACATGATCTGTCTCTTGCCTAATTTTCAAACCTCAAGTGTCCATCACCTGATGGATGGATAAATACAATGTGCTATATCCATGGAATGGAATATTACTTGGAAATAAAAGATGAAGTATTCGATGCTACAATGTGGATGAATCTTTAATGTGCTGTTCTTAAATTCCTGCTTTTATATTCTTAAAGCCTATTTTTCTTAACTCTCCATAAGGATCAATGAAGCTTATATTTTTCCCTAGAGAGACTTAAAATATACTGCCTGTTTATAATTAGTTAATTCCTTATTCTCAATTCACAATCTTCCTGACTCAATGTTATAAAAACTTAAAGAGAGATCAGTCCTTTAGAGACTTAAGAGACTGCTGTCCCTACTGTTAGTATCGATATGTTTAGTATATGTTGCCCTCAATTTAAATTACTGCTCCCAAATATTCCTGAAAGGTGGGAAAAATTTTCTTAATTTCCAAAGAGAAACACTGCTTGGACATGTCTATGTCCATATGCCCTTTCTCTGTTTTATCCTCTGATGTGTATGGGATAATTTGAGAAATATTTTGAGTACCTCAACTCTACAGTGTATTTGCCCCACCCAACCGCCCACCCTTCCACCACCCCCAAAAGAAAGCACTGTCTCTTCCTGAAATGAACTGGCAACACACATCAACTCCAAGGGTAAGTGAATTCTCAGACCTTGCGATTTGTCCCTTACCAAGCCTAGGCAACTCACAAGGGAGACAGTTTGTGTTCTTTCATGACTTAAAGAATGTGTTCAAATACGACTAAAAAATAAATGTTAAAAAAAAAAGGAATTAATCATGAAATCCTTGGGCCAATAATCACTTACTATGCTTCACAGGAAGTTTGGGGTCCTCTTAAAAAGTGAAGATTCCAGATGGTCTGTACTTATAGACCCTGAGCTTCCAAAGAGCTGGCTTCTGCCTCCAGGGCATATTGCCTAGGGCACTTTCAAGAACAATAGGTGGAGGCAAGGAAAGTCTTGAACAACAAGGAGCTGACTGACTAAGGGTCCAGCTGCCGGGCTGCATCTGTGCCCAGGTCAAAATGCTATAGGTTCTCCCAACCAATAACAGATCACAGCAAGGACACTAATGCAGGTCTCCCTGTGAGGCTGCCGAGAACACCTCCATCCATCCTGTTCTCCCTTCTCTGGGTTCAGACTTGCCTTCAGGTCTGACTTCTGATCTCCCTCCAAGACTCTTCCCCCAACTCCACCCCCTTTTTTTCTTCACTCTTTTTCTATTTTCTCCACTCCTGTTTCTCCCTGGAAAAGAAGTGCTTGTATGTTAATCCTGTCTTGGCATTTGCTTCTCTGATGACCCTGCCTAAAATCTGGATTCATAACTTATTTACTTAAATTTATACTTCTTGAAACTAGCAACTTTTAAACAGGTCCTCAGCAAATGGGTAACCAAACATGGATTTTATAAAACAGACCTCAAATGCAGAGTTCTTCCTTCTCCACCCCATTCCTATTTGATGAAGACATGAATAAATTAGGCTTCTAAACAGATGTATCAAATTAAGTCTTTCTTAATATTAAGCATGCTCCTTTAATTACTAATTTGTTTAGTTCTAATGAGGAGTGAGCAAATTAGGAATGTTACTTGAAACTAGCTATTATGTATCTGTCCCTCTGATTTGACTACAAGCTCTTAGAGGGTGGGCACCCTCTCCTATTTATTTATTTATTTACCAAGTACCAGGTTCACTCATAACAGGTGCTCAATAAACGTCTGCTGAGCAGAAGCAGGAGAGATCAGTGATGTTCCAACCAGCAGTGTGTAAGAGGAGTACAGGTAGGGGCTCTCAGGCCTCTCTGAGGATGCGGAAAAGCAAATAAAATATCCTTGTTGTTTTCATTGTACAAACTATAGAAAATAACTTCAAGCTTCATTTTACAAACCATAGAAAGTAAAGTTCAACTCTCAGGTACAGTGGGAATGAGAAACATGTAAAATGAGAAACATTACAGGAACCTGATGTTTAAACTGGATTTCGTATCAATGATATTTGGTCTAAAATGGTTATCCTGCCTCTGAGAATGGACCCAAACATAATGCCTGAGTTTAGGAGAGTAAGTTGCAATAATCATATAGATTATCTTACACATATAGATTGCATGCATATGTGCCTACTTATTATATATTTTATAAGACAAAAATATGTAGATCTCTTATTACCAATAAATTTCACTATACTTTAGATTTATTCAAACCCCATTATTTATGCATAACCAGATATAATTATATTGCACCTTAATAAACAAAAAAATATTGTTTCTTTCTGCCAATGAAAGAGTCTCTTTAAAACAAAATACTGATCATTTGTTTAGACAGTAGTAAGTTGCCATTTATTAAATAACATAATAAACAAATAGAAAAGAGTTTTAGAGTTATCTCATTGTATTATACGAAATTTCTGATTCGTTCATGACCAATTTATTTTACCAACTGCTGGAATATTTGTGATCATTAAATTTTTACTATAGCCATGAAAACAAGTTTGTCAGTGGAGACCTCAAACATTGAATTTCTTGATTAGCATTTCCTGTAATAGCTTGCTATTGGGGAATTTTTTCTGTACATGAATGGATTAAAAACCTAATTAATCTTGCCCCAGTGTTTAAGAACCACACAATAATACTGGCTTACTTTTGTACTTTTATATGCACTCAGTGAACATGAGAAGGTAGAAAGTATTAGACACACCACACTCAGAAAAGACAGAACACATTTCCTTTCTCCTCTTTTTATTATCTTCCCCAGAAGTTACTCTAAGTGGGTGAAATTGAGTCAAGATATACCTAGAATAATCCATGGCAATTTAAAATTATTAATTCTAGACCTTTTAACATACACAATGGTCTATCGAAAATTTTACATAAAATAAATCCTATAGAATTGCATGTTATCACTAAACTATCTGACACTGGGAAGTCTAATCCTTGCCCTATAGCTTAGATAGAAAACATAACCATAGCTCTTCACATTTCAAATTGTCAACATGTCATTTTTCCTATGCATCAACAAATTAGTAGATACAAACTGAGGCACCTACCAGGCTCCAGGTGTGAGACAGCATTTCACAACGAAGCACAGTAAGAGGAATTAAATAACTGAACGTGTATTTTATGTGGAAAAAAAATAGAAAAGCAAATAATTCTACCTAGTTAAACAGATGTAATGAATATGAAAATTATCAATTAAAGGTTAATAAAAACAAAGAGGCCTATAATTTTTGAGGTCTGACAAATTTGGTAGCAGTTTAGAATAATAGGTAATTTCTTAGAGAAGATACATTTGGTTGAACATAAATAAATATTCTAATTACAAAAAGTGAACAGGTAGAAAAAGGATCAGTTATTCCTTTCTCAAAGATACCATTTTCCTCGCTTTTAAGTCCTACTATTCCTACATCGCATGTTTCATCATTATGTATATATTTTTATATTTATTCTTTTGCTCATTATTCTATCAGAATCTAATATAACAACTTTCTTTTCCAAAGCGATAGAGTTTCAACTACAGCAGCCTCAAAGTCCATTCTGAAGAGCAAGGGCCACCTGATCCACTTCAGAGAAGCAACAGAAAAAAAACTCCAGACAGAAAACCCAAGGTAAGTCTGTCCTGGAGAGAGGCGGGGCAGAGACTGTGCATGCTCTCTACTAGCCTCCTGGGGCAGACAGGCACAAGATGCAAAAAATTCTTACCTTGCTGGAGGGACATCAATATTAGAAGAAACGACTTTCCGTTTCTGCTCAAGGAGACAGATGGAACGAGTGTTTTCTTTTTCATGGTCAAGGACCCGACCGGCTTTTTTGGTGTCTGCTGTTTTCACATCTTCCTCCATGGCCAAGGGGAACAAGTGATGAGACATTTTCTTACTAGAGTCACGTTTCAAGTCCTCTGATTGAAATGTGAAGGCCATTTCCCGCTTAATGCTCCCCACCTGTGAAATGAAGCAAGAAACTCTTACCCAAATCATAACCAACGTTGCAAAGTTATAGACAACTGGTGCATCTCTCATAACGCAAACAAAAGCATCACAATCATAAGAAATGCCTCTCTTTGAAGACTTGAAAGCATAAGACCTCTAATTTTTTAAAAAATTGAATATTGTGTTCTCTTTTAAAACTCAAAAAGCATGAGTAAATTCTTAAATATTTCAGTTTCATGATCATGTTTAGTAAAGCCACACTTTATCTTTGACTACTAACAGTGACCTTAACCACACTGCCATTCAGGGAGAATTGCTTTTTATCCTTTATCCACCATCATTAAGATCTTTTTAAAATGTCTCCTAAAGTCTTATGATAAAGAAGCCAGACTAAATTTTCTTATCGTTTTTAACTAAATGCAATGATTAAAGTACTTAAGACAAATGCAAAATTAAAACTCAGTAAGTTGAATCTCGTTTTTTTCTGAATTTGTGATCATTGAAAAAGAAGATAAAAGTTGAAGGTCTTTTTAAGGTAACTGCTATTGAATGAAGTTTGGAGCAAAATTTTTCAACTCTTAAGTGAAAAAAAAAGAGTCAGAGGATCTGATAGTCCGAAGCCTCACCAATCAGTGAAGTGTATTTCAGAATACGCACACCTATAAGACATTTCCCACGCCCTTCTAAGTCAGTCCATCCCCTTTTGTGAAGTTCATCTCTGGAGTGCATTTGTGGAGTCATCCACCCAATTATACAGAAGATTCACTTTTTTGTTCTTTTTAAATTTTAGGTAGGAGAAAAAGTGAAAAGACTTTGTTCAACTAGATTGAGGTTCACAGAATCCAAAGCTATAAACTTAAGGCATTTTCGGAATAGAATGAGAATGTGATTTTACTCATAGCAGAGTCTAGTATTAATGATAGAAATTCTCAGACTAAAGGAAAACTCAGATGAATGTGTGTTGAAGTCCCAGGACCTGCCCATATAGAAGAATTTCCATAGTTTAGGGAACACTCAGAATCCACTTAGCCGGCACGTGTCTTTCACAGGAACGCACAGAGGTCTGAAGGGCATCACATCCTGTCGTCTCAGCCTGTCAGGCAAAGGGGAAGTCCACCTTCCCGTGGTTTTTCCAGCAGGCAAATGTTAGCCACTTTGGGTCCACTTGCAACTCATTAAAAAGTCACCACATTTCTTAGAATGCTTTAATGAAATAAGGGGCCAAGGAAAACAAATGTCTGCTTTTAAGTGCTGTTTTAATGATGTCAATATACACAGAACGGAATTAAAAAAAAAAATGTTCACACTTCTAAAAAGGCAATGAAAATTCTATAAAAACGTAGTTTAGAAAATTGGTGAACAGAATTAAATATTTAAAATATCCATCATTAACCAATATTCTATTCATCTCTTTCTGTCTGTATGTGGAGGTGATAGAGAGGTGCTTTCCACTTCTTGACCAACCCTGTTCCAGCCTACGCTGCAACTGGAATCCTCTAAACACAAGGCAAAAAAGACAACAATGAAGGCCTCAATTTTGATGATTATCAATTGGTTCCCCCAAGTGTCAGGTATTACATTAATTAAATATGTAAGTAGTCAGCAGTATTAAGCTGAGATAATAATGGAGATCCTCGCTTCCCCTAGGGCCAACTGGACTTGATTAAATGGATTTCATCCAACATTTAAAGGAGGGGCACGACATTAGAGGAAGTGCAGTTTTTAGCTTTGCAATTTTAGAGAGAAAAACCTTAAGTAATAAATACAAATTGAATACATTTCCTACAGAAATGTTGTAATAATTGTATGCCATGCTCTTAGCTAAGGTTTCATAATAAATTATAGTAGTATTCCACAATGCAAGATATAAATCTTCTGAAATACTTTCTAAACAAAAAACTAATTGCTCAACAGTAACCAGGGGATTGTAGCAATGGAATGGATTGCAAAGGCAACTGAACCCCGACTTCTGGTTTAAATGTGGAATTACAGTGACTAGAAATGATCGAAGACGACCAAAAATAACTGTGAAGATGAGTAGATATTAAATCCATTGTTTTGTGCCTTATGCTGTGTGCAGTGCTGGTGGAGGGGCTGGATGGCAAGTGTAAATAGTCATAATCTCTCTGTGCTTTAAATCTTAACCTTTATGTATTATATGTCCCTTTTAATGTCCTTTTATTCATATCAAGTATCGTATTGAAAAGTTAAAAAATACAACAGGAGAGTTCACAGGAGAGAAGAAAGTGGAAAGAATACATGATGTCAAACCTTGGATAGATCTTGGATAGCCGGGCTCAGAAATGGCCCAGAGAAACAGGGTGGTGTCTGAAGGAGTGCTGGACAAGGGAGTGTGAGGTGAAGGACACAGCTGAAGGCTGAGAAAGGCTGGCAGGAACAGAAGGGGGACAGGCTCACCCCCAGTTTTTCCACATGAACACTGATTGGATCTTTTATTAGATCAGTAGAAGAAAGAAGCAAAAAGAAGATACAAACCCATTTGTGATACAAACCCATTTGTCTGGGATTTCCAGAAAAGGGGACTCTACAATTATAGGGAACAAACCAACGACTGCCCATGGATGGAGGTGGGAGCAGAAACTGATGCAACTGGGCACGAGGGAACTTTCTGAAGCAATAGGAATGTTCTAGAACTAGACTGCAGTGATGTCTATATAAGCTGTAAGTTTATTGAAATTCAGTGAACTGTATTCTTAACAATGGAATGTATGTTAAAAAAATGGAATGTGAATTATACCTCAATAGGGCTATTTACTTTCTCTTCTCATTCTTTGACCACATTGTGAATGAAAAACTTGGTAACAATAAGAAATACTACTTTATATTTGACTGTTTTTGTGAACTCATAAACAACTAAGCAGGAGCAATCCAAGAGATTGTGCAGTCTCACTGAAACATTTTACTTTCAATGTCTTGTAGAACTTAAATATATTTTTCACTGTAATAAAGGCTTACTACAAAATATACACCTGATAAAATTCAATGAAAAACAGTGTGTAAAGGAGAGCTTGCTATTCTTCACCACTGTCCTCTCTCTAGGAGTAGTCAGGTCCACTCCTAGAGAGAACAGATTTTTACAGTTTATTATAAAATCTCAAATTGCCTACAATGCGTTAAATACCTCTATGTGCAACCTTTTTATTATTTGACAATATATCGTGAGCATTGTTTCATATGAATAGTACATCTAGTATACTTTAAACACTATAACAGTTCATGAAATGGTATATTTTTACCAACTCCTTCTTGATAGACACTGAAATATTTTCAATTTGTCATTAAAAATGAGTATTAAACATATCTTTATGTGCTTTGTGCAAGAATTTTGCAGGAAAAATTCCTGAAGTGTGGAATTGCTGAATTAAACAACCTAAGTTTTCTTTAATGAATGTGCAAAGTATTGAGATACCTACAAAATGGACATACCATGAAGTCACTAAGTAGATGGACATCCAAATATACCCATAGTCTATTAAGGGTAACATGACCTATTAGAGGCATGCAAGTTGTAAGTCATGTTAAGGATGATTTCACTGGATTTAAAAAACAGAATTAAACGCCAAGATGCTACACACTTTAGGGAACAGAATACTGAATGGGTCAAATGAGTGCTTTCACTTTGTTTCATATATAGCTAGACAGACACATAGAAAGAGTAACCACTTTTAAGTAAGTAGAATAGAGGACGGCTTTATTTAAAAATAAAAATGAGAATTTAAAATAATGAGACAGAGTTCAAGATTTGCAGAAAATATGAAGAAAAATGCTCTACCCTTTTTTTAAAATATATAAGGTAATTGGCATTCTCTAATATTACGGATGGGAATGTACATATTTTTGAAGGCTAACCTGGAAAAAAAATAGCAAAATCTAACTCTTTCTTTTACCCATAAAGGTAGAACAAATTAACTCTTTCTTTTTCCCATAAAGGTAGAACAAATATAATCAAAGATATTTATCACAGAAATGCTAAAGTATTAAAAAAACAGAAACTAAGTATTCATCAATAATTTGGGGACTAAATATACATAAATAATGTGCTAAAAAACAAAGACATATCTCTACATTAACTGACACAAGGAAGAAATTTAACATGTATATTATAAAAAGGAGATTACAAATGAGAATATGTAATGTACTCTTAGAAGAAATGCATATATGTAAAGAAATAATTCTAAAAGGATATTCTAAAATGTTAACTTTTTTCTTTGGGGACAGACATATAACCAAATTTCACCATCTTGTTTGTAAGTTTTTTCAATACCCATATATAGTTTGGTATTTTAAAACTACAACGTTATCTTATTATTAGAAATTACTTTTTTATATAATTAACTTTTTTCAAATCTAACATTTATATAATATTTTTGTTCTATTAGCTTCAGTTGTTAGATACATATAATTTTGTTTTGTTTTGTTTTGTTTGGTACCAAGGATTGAACTCGGAGGCACTCAACTGAGCCACATCCCCAGCCCTATATTGTATTTTATTTAGAGACCGAGTCTCACTGAGTTGTTTAGTACCTCACTGTTGCTGGCTTTGAACTTGCAATCCTCCTGCCTCAGCCCAGCCATATATGTGTATTTTTAAAGGAAAAAAACATAGTGGTGTATGCCTGTAATCCCAGGGGCTGGGTGGGAGGCTGAGATAGGAGAATCGTGAGTTCAAAGCCAACCCTCAGCAACGGTGAGGCATTAAGCAACTCAGTGAAACCCTGTCTTTAAATTAAAAAAAAAAAAATGAATTGCCTAAAATAATGTATCCACAGGCACTCTAACATTATCAGCACCTTTCAGCTTTATTATGCTGCAATAACTACCACTGGATTCTTTCTTCCTGCCCAGCACACAAGCCCTTCCTATAGCACATCAACACACATATTACCCAGTGTAATTTCTTGTAAAGAAACAAAAGCTTCAATGTTCAATTATATGAGAATACCCCCAATTACCAATTACCAACCGACAAATAAAACTCGGAATTTTTATTT